TATATATATATATAGTGTGTGTGTGTGTGTAAAATAATTTGTGAGATGTAATTATGGATAATATTGTATGAATTTTAAAAAATGCAGCTAAGAAATTCAGCAGTACTTAACATAAGAGTTTTGCAGCTATCATATTGACATTAATAACTATAAACACTAGAATAATTCTCTAAGAGTTGTTGAAATGCAGTGTTAATATAATGCATGCAAATATCAATATCATAGATGAATGTAAACCTATACTCCAAGGGTTTATTTAAAGGAAGCCTGCAGTGAAGAGAGTTATTGGCTACAGTTAAACTCCTTTTGAGAATTCATTTTGCCTGGCTTTAGCAGGTAACTCAACTTTTGGTACTGTTATGGTTTTAAAAAAACCCTTCCCCCCGGAAGCCCCCCTAGTCTTATACTTACCTACTCACTCCTGTGAGATCTTCACCTGTGTGCATCTTTATATGTATGTACATATGCCCAAAAATCTTTATTCAATCCTATGGAGAGTCCAGCTAGCAAAAAAAAAAAAAGAAGCACAATCTACCCACAGCAAAGATGCACACTTCAAACAGGGCTGAGAACATATGCCTTAAAGGGGGTAAATACTCTGTGAGATAAATTAGGAAACCACAACACAAATATGCCCTGTATCTTCATAGTAATGTATGCCTTATCTTGTGCATTTCCTTTCAGTTATTATCAGTTATGACTTCATTAGTTGCATGCATGTTGTAGGTCAATGACTAAAAGCATTGAGGCCAGAGATTGCAATGCAAGTAGCATGAGGTCAGCAGTAGTGGGCTCTATATTTGTCTCAGTACAGGTTTCTTTAAGTTTGTAGTAGGTACCTTAACATAACCGATCTGCTGCTGTAGGATTGGAATTTGCCCCTCTATTACAGTGCTTGGACCTGGTGACTGGCCATTCAGGCACCAATTGCTAAATGGTGGGAGGTGAGGCAGGTGTTATGTGTACCCCATACCTGGGAGTACCAGGCTTTTGCTGGAAGATTAGTATGGTGGGGAGCACAATATAATACAGTTATGTAATTTATGTAATAAATAAATAAAATAAAAATGTAAAATCTTTGTTTTGCAAATAATCATCTAATACATGATGAAAGATTTCTAGAGTACTATTGGTTAGCTAAGGTGACAGCATAACAGACACCTGCTTTGAGGCCCTGTTTGTCTAATTAAAACTTTGGACTGATCTATCCAAAAAAGTTTCATTGGGAGAAGTCGCTGCTGTAAAGAGCAGTGTTCCTTTGTGAAAGTAGCAAACAGTTTTTAAAAACAGAAAAATAAAAATATGACTATGTTACATTTCATGTTTAGCTAACTGAAAACAACGTTGTATTAATCCTAGTCATAACAAATAAAGAAAATAACACATGCAGAACTAATTTACACTCCCTTTAAAAATTCTAACTTGTGAGAGTAGTTTCTTTCTAATTGGCTTTAAGATAAAATAATTACTGCAAGGGCCTTCTGGTTTTGTCCTGCATGATAATGTATAGAAAATATCTGTTTAAAAGCCTACTGCAGACAATTTTGTTAATTTAAATTTTGTATAGGTTAGAACTAGGTCACTTATTAATTGCTGTCAGTAAGGACATAGCCATAAAAATCTGTCAGATGATGATACCCTTTGCTTCTTCCCAATTGTTTTTATCAGTGTAATTGTCCCAGCTTGCCATTTCTTTGCTCTAGAGAAGACAGTGGGGTTAGTCTTATCAACGGGAGCATGTATAGTAATATACAGTGTACGTCGCCAGCATCGGGGCTGTTTAAACAGACTCCCGGCGACTTTTGCCGCCGGGAGTCTGTTTAAACTTGTAGAGCCGACTGTCGGCTTTACAACAGAAGCGATCCTGGCGACTTACATTTTATAGTCCCAGTTTAACCATGCTCCTGTTCACATCAGACAGCAATAATGATGTTTATGTAGAGATATTTTTTTATGGGATAAAAATTGGTAGCTCATGTTAAAATTCTGCCTCTCAGCAGGGACCTGAAACCTCCAATGACAAAACAGGAAGGTCACAGTAGGGTTGATCTAGCTTTCAGTTATGTTTTTGGATAGGTATTGGATCACCAAAATAACACCAAGGATACACAGAAGTCACAGGGTGCCTGTATCCCCATCCTTAGCCAGGACAGCCCAGTACCTCTCTCTGGCACACAGTTTTTCCTTAGTGTCATAAGCAGGTTCTTTGGATTGATAAAGTGAAGTTTGAATTGTAGACACCCACTGCAAATGAAAAAAAAGAGCACATTTTGAATGTTTTACAACAATAATTTTTGCTGGAAGGAGAGTTCCGCAGATCTCCAATTTTTCATTAAATGTCAGAATTATACAAATAGTCTCACTTACACTGTAAAGCATGAACACATTGTCACTTCAGCACAACCTGAATGACTCCACACACTATATTCATTACTAACAGTTTCTTATTGTCATTTGTGCCCTGCTGGTGAAAAACGTGACATTTAATATTTCTAATCATATCGTGAGAATGAGTTGCATAGAGTGGAGCCTTATAAAAAGCAGATGCCTTTATGTTTGAAAAATGCTTCTTGAAGTATCCCATGACCAGTGAATTTAGCACAGTGTCAAAGTTAATATACACCATGAGTGTTTTATCCTCATGTTTTAAAGGCCACAATAAATCACACACTATGAGTGGATCAGCCGTCTATCCTCTCATGGGCAATTCATTTTATATGGGCCAACAGTCCACCTCAGAGAAAACCACATCTCACTTTCTAATTACTACCCAGAGGTTGACAGAATTGCACAAAAAAGTAGTGCTTTCATTTGTATTCATCTATCAAAAAAGTATGAATGAAAGCATCCACTTGAATAGGAATCTAGCAGAATTCTTTAGGTTCAGTATTTCACTCTGGAGAGATCTATAAACTCATACAAAAAGAACTCAAGTTTGGAACTGCTTGAAATTTTTGGACAATTGTTATGATTTAAATGATATTACATTAACCTTGCACAGGTCTAGAGAAGAAACAGAAAAGAGTAATTCACATTTGTTCAAGTGAACATTCCGCATTTACATATTCTTAGTGAACAGTAAATGACCTTTAAAAACAAGTCCTTACTGACATTTGTGTCTGCAGGGACTGTGAAGCAATTACAGTCTCATTTTTTAAACATCCCTCTGACTTCACAGGGCATGTACTGGGATTAACCACTTAGACCGACACTGTTGACTCCCAACAGGACCTTACCAGTCACTCATTCTCTTCCCACCCAGCCCTGTCCCATCTGCCAGCTCCCCTGCTCGCTTCCTCGACACCAAAGCATTAGTAAGACCCTTATGTGGAATATGCAGTTCAGTTTTGTGCTCCAGCTCACAAAAAAGATGTTGTGGAACTGAAGAGAGTGCAGAGAAGTGCAAACTCATAAGAGACAAAAGGAACTCAGCTATGAGGAAAGATTAGCTGAACTGAATTTGTTTTCTCTGCAGAAGAGGCGATCAAGGAGTGATATGATCACCATATATAAATACATAAATGGTCCATTTAGTGAGCTTGGTGCCAAATTATTCACTTTAAGGTCACTGCAGATTTTTCTATTTTTGTCTCTAAAGATTTAAATTGATGGACGTGTGTCTGTCTTTTTTCAACCTGACTGTAACCAGTTTCTACCTACACAGCGCTCCCAAAAGCCAAAGGTTTTTTCCTTTTATTCCATTAGCTGGCCCATTTTTTCTTCCTCTGTTCTCCCCACTGCACTTCCCAGCACTTGTGTCCCTCCATAAGTTGCTCCATCTTAATTACCACTTGCCACCCTATCTCCTCCACTGCCTCCAGCTTCAGCACTCTCCCTCTGAAGCCATCTTCTCACATTTTCATACTGCTTGATCTCTTCTGCTGCCTGCAGCTCCATTATTTTAATTTGCACACCCAAACCAACTGCCCTCCTTGCCACTAGCTCTATTTTACCTTCCCTCACATTTTACCTTGTTGCCCTCTAATTTCATCCGCCTGCACATACCTTAATATCCTACATCTGCCTTTTAGATATAGGATATTAGCAACCTGCTGTACTCTGTAAGCTGTGCTATATATTACACTCTTCTGATCAAAGTGTTCCTTTATTTAAGGCTAGGTTCACACCTAGGTGATTTATTGCGTGGATAGCCGAGCAATATCACGCAAAACACATACTCCAATTGAAGTCAATGGGGCCTCTTCACACCTTTGTGTTGTGTTGCGCGG